AGCACCACTACTACCACCACTACTACCACAACTACGACTACGACTACAACTACGACTACTACTACGACAACGACGACCACATCAACATCAAGTACGACATCATCAACTTCAACATCAGTAACAACATCAACACAATCAACCACACAAACAACCACACCAACAACTACACCAACAACTACACCAACATCAACATTAACAACCACATGATCAATCACTCCCGTGAGGTGAATATGATTATCAGAACAATACGTTCATCAATACTTTTATCGAGTTCTCTTCCATCGCAAACTTCAAATTATATAACAACGATAAATACTAGAAAAATAAAATGCTGATTGTACATTAATAAATTTTTAACTTATTTTTTATTATCGCTATAATATAATAAATATACTAAAGTAATATAGTGAACTGTATTAGTCAATAGTTATTAATACAACTGAATTTAAACGATGTTATGTACAATAGGAATAATAATATCTGTTAATGAAAAGTATGTATTCTATATTTTCTATACCATAAACATGTGTATTGCGTAATTGTACTATTTTACTTAATGAATTTGAATTATATTTTCTGTCTTAAGATGTATTATTCTAATAATTCGTTGTTTTATTTATTCTATAGAAAAAAAAGAAAGATTGTTCTATTTTGATGGAAACATACATACAAACCACAGGAAGAGTAATCGTTTGTTTCTACATTCAATTTCTTCTAATACTATATAATCAATACACCCAAATTCAATATAGAATAGAAATCGCTCGGAAATTTTCAAAGACAATTAAAACATACTGATAAATTCTAGGAAAGTATGTTGAAATATGAAATTATTGTTTTTTTTCTTAATTCAAATAAATTCTAAGACACAATAGAAAACCATCGATTTATCTATTCAAGATAATAAATTGAGAGGATTTATTAATCATTTTTTGAGAAAATATATTTTGTAATCTTTTATATTGTATTTCAATTATAAAATTTCAGTTTGACTAATATTAACTATATTCTTTGTTTGAAAAAATAATTACATCGACAAATTTACATCGCAAAAATAATTTTAAAAATAAATCCATTATCAAGTTGATCAAATTTTATTTTTTGATCGTATTTTATTAGGATTAAACTTGTATTAGTTTCATAATCTAAAGCAAGAAAAGAATAATATGGAAGATTAATTGCTTGAAATGCAACATTATTATTTTCATAATTAAATATTAATTTAAATGTTGCA